AAAAAACTACATAAAACAAAGTTAAGAAGATAAATTTTATATACTGGTACTTATAAAATATAGTAATACTATGGTTTGTTCTTGTTCTGGATTTTGAACAACTTATTGAATGTATTCAAGAAATGTGGTATATATAATGAATATGAGTTATTTGATATAAAAAGTAGAAAGAATAATGATACATATATACAAACCGAAAGGTGTATCAATAGGTAAGCATAGTACACAAAAGGGTAAAAGTATTTGATGAAATTTAGATTTCTTCCTTTTCTTTGGAAATGATCAATATACATTATTGCTCAAAAAGGGGTAGGACTAGATAAGTTTTATACTTCTTCCTACTCCTTTGAACATATAACTGTGATGATGTTTGTATTACTTACTTTTACTTTTATTTTCCTTTCATAATTTTTGTTTGCACTTTGTCATGTTATTGTATGTTTTATATATGTTCAATAAATAAACAAACAAACAAACAAACAAACAAACTTAAACAAGAGCACCCCATACTGTTAATCCTCATTTTTGCTGACAAAACATCTTATTTCAGACCATGCCGTCGGCCTGTGACTCTCTGATTGACGACATTGAGGACATGGTGTCTTCTCATGACCCCACACCTCATGAGAGGCAGTCTGCCCGAAGGAGTATCATACCCAGGTCCAGGAAAAAAACTGACATTTTGGACAATGAGGAACTCCAAGCTGACAGGTATATTAAATATGTCAACAAAAATACAACGCACTGCATAGTACCACCTAACGTTAAAAGTGCACACTAGGGATGTCACGATCCATTCATGTGATCGGAAATTGGGGGGCCGATAATGTGATTTTCACCTGATCTACAAAGTGTTCCTTAGAGTAGTCTGGAAACTAAATCTTTTTAACTAAAAGGTACCAGTTACATTTTTTAGTATATATCTTAGACATTTTTATGTTTTACTGTTTAGGATTAGATCTTTAGTATATGCTATTCAAATGTTTTTCAACTTATCCTTTCCACTGTGATCCTCTTAATTTATTTCTAGTCTGATTCCTGGGACTCAGAAAATCTGGATGAAAACATGGGGCTGCAGTCACAACAACTCAGATGGGGAATACATGGCTGGGCAGCTTGCTGCCAGTGGATACAAAATGACAAGTAAGAAACCGTTTCTGTGGTCTATATTGTGTTTTAAAGTGATGGTAAAGCAACTCAACAAGAAATAAAAATTACAAAATAATCTTTTAACGATTTCACACCACTTCAAAATTTTGCGAGAACCTTTGCCAGTGCAGTTGATAACGCTTTTATCAATGCAACGGTTTGAACCTGGAGCTTGGAAATTTCTATTAATTCCTATTGAGGGAAAAAAAAAATCTTCGACTTGGTACGTTGACAAGAACTACCTTATGTGAAACTTTAGAGGTTCCGCTGTATATTCTTGGAATAGAAGTACAGTAATTTTTATTGAGCAACCATAAATTAGCACGCTGCCATTCGCCAAAATAGGGACAAATAGTGCATTCTAAGAGTCCGTTATATTATTGTGGGGCTGAAAAAGGGAGTCCGAGGAGGTATATGACAGCAAACACATTATTGCACATATGTCTTGAAACTCAGAGAGACTCGTAGGATAAAGAAGGCAGTAACATAACCCCTGAAGCATGCCACGTAGATGGAGTACACTAATTGGTTTCCAGTTCCTTCTGCGGAGGAATTTTGTCAAAACCACCACATTATGATGCATTTGTAACGTTAGATTTTCAAATTAAAGTACATCTTTTTCAAAAGCTCTTTTGTTACCAGGTAAACAACTATGTGATGAATTTAGTCATCGCCCCCCCCCCCACACACACACACACACACACACACCAACCCAACTCAAAGTATAATACACCCTCCTCGACTCCTCAATCTTATGCTCAAGAAATTGCTGTACATACTAATAGTAAGGAAAACAAAGTTCTTTACAACAAATATTGGAAGATAAAGTCGAACTCGACAGGACAAGTAGATTTGGCCTCTGAATTTTGTGTAATTATGTTATGAAACACAAGGTGGCAGTATTGCTCTGTTGGCAGTATTGCTCTGTTGGCCAGACACTAAAAAGGAATAGCAGGAATTCTGAAATTGCCTTACCGTCAAGGTACTTGGAATCTGTAATGAAATAAAAGCACCGTTTCTTTCAGAAAGTTGGTGCAGAGTTGTTTTCTATTCCCGCTCTTGTTGCGGTGCGGGAAATATCCGCCTTTCTCCCAATCTGATTACTGTACATTGCTTCTGTAGCTGTTTGACGGTCCATTGCAAATCAAGGTGCAATTCAAGACAGTCTAATGTAATAGTGACTTGGTAATAAAATCAAAAGTTGCTCTTGTGGATAGTATTTTCTTTTTGCTCAGTTGGCTTTCTCTACTTTATGTAGTGCCTCATAATTCCCGCTTCTTCTTATTGTGTGTGTGTGTGTGTGTGTGTGTGTGTGTGTGTGTGTGTGTGTGTGTGTGTGTGTGTTAAATGCAGTTTCAATATTGCAGTGTGCACTGTTAATGTCTTCACAAGGACCACCGTTATTGTGATCCAGATATTTATTCTCAAAAGATATGGGATCACAATGAGTTTACCAACGCAGTGTAATAGTTTGTTTTTCGTATGACGTCAAAGTTGATGACAACTGGACCGCCTTCTCACAAATGTTGGAGTAATCTGATTACATGAACTGCTTCCGTGGTATCACACCAGTGTTGGGTCTCTGTCATGAGAGCCTTCTTGGTTGTGGTATTCTTTATGCAGTTAAGTAGTTTGAGGCTTCACCAACCATTGGGGAATATTCTTTCTCTCCATTGTCTCCCAGTTTCTGCCATGTCTGCAGGGTAGTGATTAAGGGGAAGCAGCTCTCTGCCGAAGCTGAAGGATTAGTTTGATTCCCATTTTGTTCTCCCCTACAGTCTTCTGTCTCTTCCTCTTTGTTAATGTCTGCTTTTCTCTTGCCTCATATTTTGAGAGGCCCCACCCCATGCTCTCTCAGCGAGTGCCGTTCGTTGTGATTGTCGGAAGGAGAAATTGTCTGTCATGTACAGAAATGACAATGATTGTGTACGTGCGGTTGTGAGTGGTGTATGCAATGCCATGGAATTGGATCGGAGGGTTTGAGATTTCTGCACGTGAACGGAGGAATGGAATCATGTAGATTATCAAGGGCGGAGGGGTATGGTGTGTCTTATTGAACAGAGGAAACCTGCTTGATAATTTTTGTGTGTATTGTTGTGGGTCTTTACAAGACAAACCAGCTGACCTCCAATGTGCATCAGATCAATGCTGCATCGTGAAATAAACAGTTTTAGACAAAGGCCAAGCTATAAAAAACATGACATCACCTTCTCTCCCTCCCTCACATTTTCTCCTGCCTGTCTTTATGTCGTACTCCCCCCGCCCCGCCAAACTTTCATTCTTTCTCCAACTATGACATCATCACCTGGCGCGAAGCGTAGTAGCAGTTGTTGTGGCGGCCTCTAGATGGCAGCCTTACCCCAAGAGAAGTGGAGGACAGGATGAGGTCATGCGTCTTAGAAACAATCTTTGTAAATTTCTTTTCTCATTCACAATTTTCAGATACATAACTCTTTTTCTCCTCAGTGTGAGTTAAATCATCAGCTTACGTTTGTGAAATGGAACTGCAAAGGAAAATGTTGGTATTCAATTGTCAGTGTTTTTGCATGCTCTAATTGTAGCTACTAGGAACACATCACCCCCCACCAGTTGAGATAATAACTGATCATGTCAGTGCATTTAAATTAAAAAAAAAAATCAAAATGAAGTTTAACACCAGGTTTCAAAAGGCTGCTTTGCTTTCATTGTGTTTACACCTGCTGAACTGTCTGCGTTTGTGTATGCTTGCCGACGTGCTTCATGCCTTCCACTGTATGACCAAAGAGGGCACTGTTAACCTGCAGTAGCGCACTGGCAGCAAATGAGCTAGTTGAGAGGCTTGTACAATGTGCCAGAAATTGACTTCATTGAAAGGCGTGTACATAAATGCACGCTTGCAACCCAACTCTCTCCCTCCCCGTCCCTGTCGCTGCCAGCCGTCCTCACACAAAACACTTCAGTTATGAGTTTTACATAGCGGTTAGGCAAAATGACTCCCTTGTACACATTGTCAGCCAAACGGGCTGCTTTTAGTTCCTTGTTTGGACACAGGCAGTTAAAGGATATGACTTCACACAATGGGTGTGAGGTGTGTTGCTCATATGAGTTTGAAACAACAGATCTGCCTGCCGGTGTTAAAGATGGGATAGATGAAATGTTTTTAATTTCCCATAGTTAATTTTTGCAAATGTCTCAATGAAAGGCAGTAATTATAGCTCTTTGAACTGAAGCACTTGGAGGTTTTGGATTCTCCTTTTTAATGGCACTTGAAGGAAAAAGTAGCTTTGTCTTTTACCGGTTCATTCATCACATCAATGTATGTATGTATTTGGCAATGTTCAAACTTGTTCTGCCTAATTTTTGTTTTTTTTTTTCCATACAACACTTGTTTTTCAGCCGCTCCTGCCGCTCCGAGTGATTGCATTACATCATTGCAGAGTATTCTCGCTTTTAGTGTGTGCGTCTAGATGTCGCATACGCAGCACCTCATTCATTCATAAATCGGAGGGTGAGGATCCTTCTGATTGGCTGACGTTGTGCTACGCAACATTACGCGCCGCCGCGTCATAGTGAGTGAAGCTTTAAAATGTTCCCTCTAACTCCACCTCTCACATTTACAAACGCACACACTTGGCCATTCGACAGACACACACTTTCAGAGGTAGTGAAAACAGGTTCGATAAAGGGCAAATGCGTGATGTGCACGTGTGTGTGTGTGTGTGTGTGTGTGTGTTTGTGTGTGTTAGGGCTCGTTGGCAGCTGTCACTTTGTAAGATCAGATGGGCTGTCTGTCTTTCTGCTAACTCGCTGCTATACGTGTCCGACAGTCCACTCCGCTGGCTCGAAGAGAGAAAATGGCATAGGAGAAGGCGATGTACGGAAAAGAGGAGAGGATGTATCTGCAGGGTAATGGATCAAGGATGCAGCCGAAAGAGGCGGATGCAAAATTTAAAGCAGTAGTTAGTCCCGTAGAAACAGACACGAGTGAGACGCACGTCTGACGACATGCTGCAGTAGCTCAAGTGCTTTTAATGTAAAGCGATAATAACAATACACAACTGAACCCGACACTGGATGCAATAAATGTATGCTGGCTTGCATACCTAAATGCACACACTTGAAAATGTTTATCACTCCATCTGCACTAGGTTCTATTTATACCAAGACTTTAAAAGCTTCGAGCAGGCATACGACGGCTGGGGCGCCTGTTAATATGTAAATACGGATATGCAAATTCATTTGTTGACAGGGTTAAATAATTCTGAATATGATCACTTATACCGAGTGGCTGTGTTTAAAAATGAAAATTTTTTTTAGTCTCAAACACATCAGCGTCCATTACTGATGATTTGCATTTATCCTTTTGAACTTGAAGTGGAAAAAAAATTAAAAGGCGGAATCGCTTGCTTGCATCTCCTGTCTTGCAGACAGGCATGCAAACAAACATTTTCCATGGCCTGGAATTCCACTCAAGCCCAAGTCCAAGCCGTCCACTATAACCATTTAAAAGCCAGGAAATTGGAATGATCCCAAGCGCTGTGCGTGCGTGCGTGCATGCATGTTCGTGTCCGGCTGATCCTACAAGGTGACCCTCATGTATGCAGCACCCAGGAACCTTTTAAAAGCAATGGGATTAGGTAACCCAGCCTGGCCTGCTTTTAAAACTCCCTCGAGAGAAGAAGGGATAGAGAAAAGAGGAGAGTGGGATTGCACGAGGAAAGGAGGGGATCATCGCTCAATCTCATCTATCGATTACTTTGAGGAAAAGAATTTTGAACATGTCAAAAATGTAATGAAAACTGCTACTGTTGAAAACACGCGAGAGAAAAAGTCACTCTCACTTTGCTTACATGACAACAGCGTTTTGATGCCTGCGATGGCAAATATTTTCAAAACTTGTCTCAAACAGGCAGTCTTTGAAAACAACTGCCATTTTGCATTTGGAGATATATGCCTAAAATGGCCAACTGTGAAAATAGAAGACACATACGTTGGCTTCGTCGGTGACATTGGTA